GCAAAATATTTTAGCATTGACATTAAGCAGCTCTGTTGTTCATGACTCCAGAGTGGAAGGCTTGATGCTTCACTCATTAAATAGTTCATAGCACTCCTCAAATGAGATTGTGTTGGTAATCCTGATGTCCAGTCCAAATTACAGCAAGTGAAATTGCATTCTGCTTATCTAAATTCCCCCCACAGTATCTATATACAATTTTTATACTTGGCTAGCATTTAAAATGTTAGGTGCTGTTTCACATCAGAGGTTCCTGCCTGTCAGTCTGAAGGGAATCCATTATTACACATCTCTTGCGCTTATTCAAAGGTTTTTGGATTTTGCTTTTACTTAAATAACCACTATTGCTTGCTGTGGAAAACATTACAGAAATGTAGTTGTAGTACAGTAAGAGATGATGACAGGGAGAATCTTTCCAGATTGTGAGATTAACTGATAAAATCACCTTAAATATTTGAAGGTTAAAAATACAGACTTTTTTTTTTTACACTGTGAAAGTTTTTCATCTATTAAAAGCGGTATCTTACTCAAGACACTTTGATCAGTGCCAGGGTTAACAGGAACTCTTAATTTTTTCCACATCCCCATAAATTTTAAAGCCATTCTTCAATAGTCAGTATATGGTATTAGAAGTTATGAATACATGTTGAAGAGGAGGCATTTGGTGTGAAGCTATTAAGTGATACTGCTTATTTTCAAAATAAAATAAATGAGACAGACCCAAATTATGCTTTTCTTCGGATGAATTTGAGATTCAGTGAAGAAAGATGCACCTGATGAAAACACACCTGATGAGGAATGGGACACTCATACTTTGCAAGCAGTATTTAGGAAAAAAGACAAGAAATTAAATTATCAGAATTTTATTTCTGTTACAAATTATCACAATCACAATTAATATAAAACAGAGAAAGCACTGAGGAGACTTGACTGTTAGATACAAGATCTATTAAGGTGTAAAAGCCTCATCCAAGACTACTACTAGAAAATCTGTGAACGTATATTAGAGAAAACATTTCTATGCATCAAACACCAAGTGAAAGAGAATAAGCAGCATAGTATAATTGACAGGGATTAACACACCTTCATGTTATACAAGTTTCTGAAGGAAATGGAAGTTGGAGTAGCATTTCTACCCACGAGTCTTGTTTTGAGTAGACCTGTTTACAATTAGCTATTACGAAAAGCTTCAGCATAAAACACCAATCTTCATTTTAACTTATCCATGTTGTTCATACATTAGACAAGCTATTTCCAAAAGCATTTAAATTCTAGTCATGAAACTTCACACACTCTCTCTTACACTTGCTGCATAAGGCTAAAACGAATCACTAAAAGGAACATGAGGCTGCATTATTGCTTTGTAACAGGAACTTAGATGAAAATTCTTTATTGAGCTCCAAATAAAACATTGTTGCATCACTAAACAACTAAGAGTTTAAATATACAATTAATCATTTTAAAAAGTGTATAATATTATACACTTTAAGGCTTTAATACAGGAAATACAGAACAGGGTTTTCATACTCCGTAGCCTGTTTCATTGTTGTCTAGGCACACGGATAAGTACAATGCTCTAAGCAGTCCATAATTAACATGGCAGAAGTTCCTGAAAAAGAGCAAAATATAATTTATTTGTATACATCCCAAGACTACCAACTATGAATTCTCTGAAGACTGTCAGATTATAAGCAGTGGGATCAGGCAATTATACATATAATAAATGCATGCAGATTTATGGAAACCATTGCAGAAACTATCATTGAAATGCAGTGCAAATGTGATAAAAAGGTTCAATAAAGGCAAAGTAATTATATGGTTAATTATAATCATTAACATTACTCATTTGACCAGTAACACACAGAAATTGACAGTGTCAGAACACAAAATCCTACTAGAATGGATAAACACTTCTAGGTTACTTTGTCCCAATAAAAGAAAGGCTGCCTTTTACATTGATTTTTTTTTTAATTTAGGGATCTTTTTAGATTATTTTTCCCTTTCTTCAAAACCTAATGGATTTCTTTGCATAGCTTACTCCAAAGGAAAAACAAAAAAACCCCCAAAAAACCCCACAAAACAGAAATGCAATAGCAGAACACAATGCTAGCGCATGTTATTTCAGAAACTGTCACCAGACAGTTTTTGTACTGCAAATATGTAGTTTCTAAGAATATCTAATACCAGTGTTTGAACTGATGTAGCTTATTGTACACACATGTATAGGACATGAGAATTGATACAACTTGGTTTTTTGAATAGGTATGGAAACACATTTTATTAGGAGAAATAAGGTGTATCAATGTGGAACATTGGAAAAAGGAAGACTTAATGGATTTAAAATTCATACTACTGTCATGCTCAACATATGCAGACCTTTTTCTTAGCAGTATCAAATTTAGATCTTGCAACTCATTAAAAGAACAAATAAAATTGGAATAGAATGGTTAATTTTTCTGTCAAGGTGGGCCACAGCTACTTAATTGAAGCATCATATGGCCACAGACGACTCCATCTTCTGTCAGAAGCACGTCTGGCACATGACCAAAACAATCACTTCTGACCATAGGATGGGTGTGCTCTTAGGAGGGGAATTTTCTTTTAATTTACTCATGTGACCCGCAACATCCAGTCAAATGACATCCTGTCACACAATGGTGCACCCAAACAGCCTCTACATGATTTGACAGCAACACACTTTTTTTCCTCCCCAAAAAGGGAACCTGGAACAATTTAAGGATTTATAGGACTTCAGGGCAGAGTAGCAGAAAAGTGGCACAAATGCATGCTGATACATTGATCCTCCATATAGGAGGCACTAAGGAAAGATGGCATAAAAAAAAGTTGGATAAATTACAGAAGGTTGAATTCACTTCTGATTCACTTATTCGTCTACTAGCCATCCCTGCTACTAGATATTTTATTTTCAACCTATCAAGTTTCATCACATATGGTTAATATAAAGCTTCATATTTGCAAATGAAAACTTGCTATGACTTATGTAACTCATCATATTATGTGATTTAAGATGTGAACAGAAGTAGAGATTTGGTCAATTCCGTTATAAATATTTCTAAAAGATATTTATATACTCAGTTTTGCCATAGCAGTTTTAGCAGCTGATATCAAATCTTTGCCCTTTGAGCCCCAGAGGGCAGAAATCTTCCCCAAGCTCTCCTAACCTTAAAAGGGTCCTTTGCTTTAAATCTTTAAAATACTCTCAAAATTGTTCTAAAGCCATTTTTTAAGTACAAAAAGTTCCTTTAGCCGGTGACAGGAGTCTCTTAAATTTACTGTGGTATACAGAGGCAGTGCAACGTATGCAATATTTTAAAGTATAGAGCTGTATTTATCTAAGTCATGTCAACTAAAGGCATTAAGATCATGAGGTAACAGGAAGAATTATCATTCCAAGTAGGAAATAAAGAAAAAAACTGTTCTATTTAAGATATATGCAATCTGAGCATAAATACAGTTGTTAAATTATTTCTTGTTATATATATTTAATTCACCAGAAACAGTGGAGCTAGCTATTCTTCAGCTAATGTTTCTCAGTGGACTTGTTCTCCTTCATTTGTGCCAAAAATCAGTCTGCTCCTTGTGCAGAAATGCTTGACTTAGAAAATCATTCTACAAAATACTTTCTGTAGCTTTGGAAAACCATTTTAGACACATTTGCTGACTAGATTAGAGCTTTAAGTTCCCATTTGAACACTACTAGCATAAAATTGCATTCATTTTCTTTCATTTTCCTCTGTCCAATGAAACACTTAATTGGTTGAAATGTTGTCAAAGCTACTTATACCTTTCAATAAACAAACAACCAGAGAACAGTGTCCACACACTGGGACAATTTAATGTCCTGTTTAATGAGAGTTTTAAACTAAGACCTTTCCCACCAGAATTGAACACAGTCAATGATTTTTGCTGGCCTTCAGCTCAGTACCTGTAATCATTACATAAATTAAAGCCTTGGGCATAAAGAATTAAGGACCTGATCAAAAGCGCCATTATTTCTCTAATAATTTCACAGATGAGTAAAGATACCTACCAAAGCATCAGAAGATTAAGGTTTTAGTTCTCTTGGCTGTCCAAGGAGGTGGGTTTCCTGACAAGAGAAAAAAGATAGTTTTACTAAATTTCAAAGACTTTCAAATAAAAACTAAACAAAACAATGTAAACTATAATTAATAGAAACTTAATGATTAACAAAAAGCTTTAGATAACATTTGTAATGTTTAAGTTACTAGAATTTATGGAAAAATAATATATTACAAATTATTGGTTATGAGGTTTTACAGTTGTTTAATAGGGAATAGTTTGTCCAAATTTAACTAGCTAAGCTAAGGCTTTTTAGATTACTAATATAAATTAAATGTTTTAAAAGGAGAATTTAGGTGTCCTTAAGGTCTTTCCTACATTCTAAAATGAAATTTTCTAAGTTTCTGGTTTTATTGGTTATATTAAGATAAATTAAGTGAGATTAAAATCTTATTTGATTATTTACCTTGGCAAATGAAGACCGTTTTAAGGGTTACACATCCTCTGCCTCTGACGAAAGCGACCTCAATTAGTCAAGTCAGAAAGTCTTTAAAAGCTTTGTGTTTATTGCTTCCAGCACGGAGCGAGGTGGTCATTAACGTACCAAAATTCTCATAAAAATTCCAAAGTTGCACTAGTGAAAAAATGCTCAACAAGATGAAAACTAGTCACATCTTTTTCAGAAAATTCATTAGCTATTTTAAACCATTTTTAACAAAAATATTTTGATTTAATGTGGCACTCAAGCAGATCCATACCATTTGGATACTTTAAACAGCATTTATATCTACTGTGAATATATATATACATTTAGGTTTATACCATTTTTTAAAGAAGTTGCGCAATGTTTAATATGAGCCTTTTATACTGATCACTGTTAAATGTATTTCTCCCTGTTTACTACTATTTATGAAGTTTTATTATAAGATAAAGCATAAAATTAATCTCACACACACTGATTTTCTTTCAAAAGTTTATTTAGTATCAAGCAAGGGTAAAACTCTGCTTAACACTACAGAACATTTCAAGACTTGAGTTACAAAATACGACATTATTGGCATTTGTAATTTGCTTCCCTTTTTACGCATGTTTGCAAAGAGAAAAACTAGCAAATGGCTGAAAATAAAAACTATAAACTAAATTGTTGAAAACCTTTAAAATAAAAGGTTACGCTTATGTTAAAGAATGGACTAACATATTTAGTAAACCTATTTTTTGTTTAACACTAGTTAATCAAAGGTTATTTTTTTGATGACCTATTTTTTCAAATACAGTTTGGAAATAACAAAGTTCCTTGTTTTACATATCTTTATGTCCAGGTTGTTCTTTCAACAAAATATTTTAAGTTCAGTCCATCCATTCAGATTTTTAAGCGCTTTGATTTAATAAAAAGGGATTGTTCATAGAAAAAATTACTTTGAACAGTATACAGGACTGGTGGAGATTGGTTATTTCACAACATCAGACAGTACAATCAGTATCTGGCATATGGCTGGTCTCTGTAGACTCCTTTTGTTGTCCTTGCAGAAGGTGCCTTGTGTCTTGAGTTGGTCCATTCTTCTTGCCCTACAAGAACGGAAAATATAGTTAGACCCCTTCCAATGTTCTCAGATGCTGCACTTATTTTTTCCTTACTTAATTGTGAATTAGATAGCGACATTTTATTTACTGAAACCAAAGTGTACAAAGTGAAGTCTTACACTTCAATCAAAAAATCTGGGTACAATGCATCTGTACGAGCTACCCCACAAATGCTTTTTTGGCACATAACAGCAGGGAGTGTGACAGGCTAACGGCCTGTATTTAGGGCTCTGGCATTCAGCTGGACCTGCTTGTTGTAAATACACAGAAATGCCAGCTATAGTAGCAGACCTACAAATAATTATGCTAGGATGAAATGAATGGAGGATATGAATTATGTATAAGCAAAAAAGCTACCCTCAGAAATAAGTTTCTTTGCATCAGTACCAATTTAGGCTTAATTAAAATATGCAATCCAATAGTGAAAAGCCTCAAGTATCTCTACAAACACCTGTGACTTCTAATAATCTAGGGGCAATATTCGACTTCACTGTAAACATACACTTCCTCTAAAACACAAGAAATAGGAAGGCAGATTATGAAAAAATTAAAAGGGCAAGGGAGATTGCTTGTTTGAATTTTGACAAGAAAGTAAGTTTGTGAAAAGCTTGTGCTGTATTTAATGCCTCATAATCCTACCGCATTTTAGTGGTAATAAATATTAACAAAATGTAGCAAAGTATTGTCTTAATAAATGAGAATCAGACCTACTGTGCAGCATATTTACAACAAAAGAGAAGACAAGACCAAACGCAGAGTATAATAAAACCGTACTTAGGTACACTTTAATCAAGTAAACAAATCAGAGTACTGCCCCTGAGAGAAAAAAAACAAAAAAACCCCAAAAGCAAGCACACCTGAAAACACTGTGTGTGCTTCCCTATCTACTTTTGGAGAATTGCCCTGCCCTAAGTAGACAGGTGTCCAAGTGAACCCAGTGCACTCCAGAAACTAAGGGTGGAATCCAAATGACTAGGTATGGTAATCTAAAATGTAGGCATCGCTTTATCTTTTTAGTCAACTTAAAAAAAAAAAGTCAGTCAAAGAACCCCTGTACTTCTTTGAATGGTAAGGTAACTTCCTCAGATGGTAGATATCTGAAATTAGGTGACAAGAATCCCGTAAGTCAAGGGTCCAAGTTTCACAATCTCTTCATAGAGGTCTCATCCTAACTACTTTATTTTTAAAAATTTAAGTGGTTGCCTGCAGAGCCTAGGTTATATATCATACCTAGGCATCCTGGCCTGTATCAGAAATAGTGTGGCCAGCAGGAGGAGGGAGGTGATCGTGCCCTTGTACTTGGCACTGGTGAGGCCGCACCTCGAATCCTGTTTTGGGCCCCTCACTACAAGAAGGACATTGAGGTGCTGGAGCGTGTCCAGAGAAGGGCAACGAAGCTGGTGAAGGGCCTGGAGAACAAGTCTTATGAGGAGCGGCTGAGGGAACTGGGGCTGTTTAGCCTGGAGAAGAGGAGGCTGAGGGGAGACCTCATCGCGCTCTACAACTACCTGAAAGGAGGTTGTAGCGAGGTGGGGGTTGGTCTCTTCTCCCAAGTAACGTGTGATGAAGAAGCATAAGAGGTTGCTTCTCATGTATGTTACTCTGTTACCAGATTCCTGTGGAACTTGCCTGAGTTTAATTCTTTCAGCCTTACACCAAATTTGAACTTGTTCCTTTTACCTCCTAGGCAAATGTTCTGACCATCTAGAATTATAGAATCATAGAATGATTAAGGTTGGAAAAGACCTCTAAGATCATCCCGTCCAACTGTCAACCCAACACCACCATGCCCACTAAACCATGTCCCTAAGCACCACATCTACATGTCTTTTAAATACTTAGATGAGGTTGGACTCGATGATCTTAGAGGTCTTTTCCAACCTTAATCATTCTATGATTCTATGATTCTAGGTGGTCAGAACATTTGCCTAGGAGGTAAAAGGAACAAGTTCAAATTTGGTGTAAGGCTGAAAGAATTAAACTCAGGCAAGTTCCACAGGAATCTGGTAACAGAGTAACATACATGAGAAGCAACCTCTTATGCTTCTTCATCACACAGAAAGCAAGGCTTATATTAAGCAAGGAAAAGAACCCTAGCCTAACAGTAAAAGTAGCTGGCTGAGGGGTGAGAATTAAAAATATCGTAGCTTTTAAGCACCGCTGCAAGGAACTGTTTAAATGTAAAAAGCAGGTTACAGTTTAAGGGGAATCCTTGCTTCTTTTCAAGCAATTGGTCAAATCAGTAGGGTAAAGAGTCACCTTACTTTTTACCAGTTTTCATTTTGGTGCCATTCAGGGCTCCAAATCCTAAAAATACTGCTATTCTTCCTACATCCTCTGGATTGGCACCAAAGCTTCTCAGAGCAAGAAAAGTTCAGGTACTTCCTGGGAAACTGAGTTTCCTCCTGGCCAGCACTAGGCAATTATCTGCTCACTATGCAGTCTTATGAATTTTAGTCCAAGACACCTAATATTCTTTACATACTCTAAGGATGATTATTAGTATCTAACTCTGCATTTAATGATGTATTTGAGGATCAGACAGTTAAGAAATAAAGTGTATAACTGTTTATTTGTATGTGCAAAAACTTCAATGGCTGTAACACAATCATTCTTCAAGTTATTTATAGTTTTCCTCTCAACTTGAGTAAATACATCACTTAGTATTCTAAGTGGCTGTGCTTTGATAAATAGAAAACCAATTTTAAATGCAAAAGCAATGAAAAATCCATATTTTCAGCCTTAAATACTGCAATCCACATTTTTCCCCATCAGTCAACTCTGTCTACATTAAGCAGTTTCATACATTTTTTTCCCCCCGATTTTGCATTCATGAAATAGTCTTAGAAGTATCAGGCTTATAATGGCAAACAGTTTATTTTAATGCTGAAATAAAGATTTAAGCTATATATCTATCAAGACCAATTGAAAGTGCTGGGGGACAGAGGAATTTCAAGTGACCTCTTCTTTTGGTGAACTGACTTTCCCCTTAAGCAAAATAATTAGTTTAAGCAGATTACATTGAGCAAACTTCTGTATTAGGTGCATTTATCATAACAACTTAGTTGAGGTTATTTTAGTTTTCAGCAG